GATTTCTGATCCAGGATTCTAAAAAGGTAAAGTCGGGAGATGTGAACCAGCGTCATTGCACACGGTTATAAACCATAAGTGCTGAGCCACCAGTACGGACAGCTGATAAGAAACTGTCCGCCTGTGTTGCTGTCCGCACTTAACTCCGTAGCTACAGCGACGTTCCTCCATTTAACCCAGAGTGTCAACTCTGGAACACATTTCCTAGAGGCTTGGTGAACCCCGGGAACCGCCCGGATTCGAACACAAACCGTGGGTTGCAGCGAGTCGCAGCTGGATTTGAATGCGAGTCTCGTATCGACTGCACTAACGCGGCCTGATCCATGATACTAGAGAGGTTCAAACCCACTAATATGAATAAATTAAATCAACCTCTTGAACACATGACTACACACACATCGTGTGTTTTCATCAACTGACACCAGATGGGAACGAATATGTCCAATGGGAAAGTTCTGGGTGCAAAGATGTCCGTTCCCCGTTCATTCATTCATATATCTTCATCATGAACCACTGTTTACTTCAGTTACACAATCAACATATTCTAGGCCTGGATGTTTTGATTGCTTCGATTTGATGTACTAAACAACAAATAAAAAGGTGGACAACATAGGAAGGGAGAGTCGAGGTAGTGTAGCGGCTTGCCGGACGCGTAGGAATCGGAAGTCCTGGATTCGGGTCCTGGTGGTGCCGGACTTTTTTTTTTTTAAATGACCTTGGCTTCCAGATCGACCTAGTCTTGAATGGGTACTAGGTGCAGTCATAGGAAGTAAAGGCGGCTGGCGTGATGCTGACCACATCAAGCACCAAGAGCCGATTGATCTATCAAAATATTGGTTTAGCGGTATTTGTCCGATACGCTTATAGCCTGGAAAAGTGTCTTTTAATTTACTTTACTTTAAATGCGACGAAAAATAAAATATATACGATAACACAATAATGATTATTAATTTCTTTGAGTAGCTTTCTAAAAGATAACAAAGACACATAAGTTTATTGTGGTATGATATTAGCACCAACCATTTTCTCTCTACATATTAATCCGTGTTAAAGAATAGTGATTTGTTATTTTGGTGATTTCTAGTCAAACACCAAATAATGTATGTTGAGGCAACGTCAAGAGGATAAGTTAATTTAAGGAGGATGAAGAGGAGGAAGAGTATGATCATAATTTAAAAAAAAAAAAAGAAAAAGAACCAAAACAACAACAATAACAACAACAACAGCAAAAACAACGTTACAGAGATAAGGGAAACGAAGAAGCCAATTCTAAATGACAGTTTTAATTTTCCTAAACTCAACAACCCCATTACATCAAAACCTGGCAAGAATAATGACACTGTACTCAATCAAACGTCAAGCTATACTGTACTGTAAAACTATGTCTGGGTGTGTCTGGCACCGAGTGGACAGAACAAATCCAGACCGCCGGGCTGTGGTCAGTTCTTCTATTGATATGATTCGCCTTTATCAAGATTAAGATTATATTAGTTGCTATCTAATGGCGTTTCCTGCCGGTCAACCAATGAGTCACTTTAACGAGATGGATTTCGGTGAGATCACTGGTATTACGGTATCTGTCTAAGAAACATATTATCTTGTAAAAATGGGTCATTTCGTTTACAGTGTAATTTTAAATTCCAGAGAGTGAAGAAAGTGCGCTATGTTATTTCAGATACGAGATAATGTCCCGATAATCAAGTAAAATATCAGCCCCTGGCGTACAAAACTAATGTTTTCTAATGTATTAGGACCCAGTAATATTAGGCTGTGTCAGTCAGTTTTTGTTCCTTGCCTAATGTCCTTTTTTTTTTTAAATTTCAGTTAGAAAACAGTAAGGGTCCTTTATTGGCATATATTAATAAAAGGAACAGACAATGTATTTATTGATCGACACTCATAGAAAGAAGTAGAAAGATATAAGAACACACTAGACAACATAACAATTTAAAGCTATAGTTACCGTGCCGTGAATTAAACCTGTCACCTCCAGACGGCGTGTACGCCTCGCCATGGAAACTAAGTGCACTAAAAACATGGTCAATTAGGCACCCACCCCCCACCCCCCCCAAAAAAAGGTGTCATATTGGCCATGTCTATATCGTGCAGCTTGAAATCCACAACTATGGAATACGGATAGAATTCACATCAAACCATTGAAATGGCACCATAGGTTACAGAGATTTATACGAATAACAAGCACAGCAACAACTTACGAACACAGTAGACCTCAATGCTTTGATAACGTACGTATGTGTGTATATTTATCGGAGAGTGTATAAAGTACACCAGATGTGACTCTGCTCGTAATTATCTGCCCTTCTCATTGCAGGTATCATCGTCAACGACTTCGCCGACGAGATCATTCTTGACCCCAAGCTCATTGCCAGGCAGTACATCAAAACTTGGTTTTTCCTCGATCTCCTGAGCTCCGTCCCCATGGATTACATCTTCCTTATGTGGGACGCCGAGGCCGATTTCAACCAGCTATTCCATGCAGGTACGAACGACAAGCCGGAAACTTCGGCGTACTGGCAAGGTGATCATTCTCTTCCCATGGAATATTTCATATATAAGCAACGTCACCTGGCTAATTCCTACGCTCACATTGCTGCGCTTTGGTTTGGTCCTAATTATTTCTCTGACACCCGCAATACTTAGTGGAACTCACATGTTATCTTTTTTTTTTTTTTTTTTTTTTTTTTTTTTTTTTTTTTTTTTTTTTTGTTACATCTTTAAACACACCTTATAAAATCACGTTGCAGTACGTTTGTTTTAAATTTAAATCCATACGCAGAATGAATTTGGAAATAACAGTAAGGAATTTACATTTGTCAGAGTTTCCATCCTTCTGTTTTTCTATTTACTAGTGTTTTATAATTCCTAATGAACACCCAATTTTCTAGTTTAAGTAAGCTGTAAATATTTTAACATTTTGTAACGGCCAATATTTATAAATTCTGATGAAGAATCGGTGAAATAACATTATTCTGTAATTGGATAATTTGGAAATTCATAAATTCAACATTTCTGGATATTGTGACCTATGAGGAAATGTAGTTTCAGAAGTTAGAGAATTTCCTATTTTAGCAACATCTCAAAAACAAAATTAAAAATTTAATCGAATATTAAAGTGCATAATATGACAAATGTTGAAATGTTTTTATATAAATTAGAGAATAGCCCATTTTAGCCACGTACAAGAAACTTTAGACAGTATGATAACCAAGAGAAGATGGAAATGGCTTGGCCACGTTATGAGAATGAATCCTGATATACCCGCCAAAACAGCTCTCACATGGACACCGGAAGGAAAGAGAAAACAGGGGCGCCCAAAAACAACATGGAGTCGAAAGATGGAAAGTGACCTAAGTGCGGCATCTTTGATATGGAAAACTGCACTGAAGATTGCACAGGACCGAAAAGCATGAAAAGTCCTCTCTGAAGCCTCATGTGCCACAAGGCATAACGAGAACTGATAATAATAAATAATTGTATCTTTATTATGAACACGTAAAATATGGTAAAATATTAGCCAAAAGGGTAGGTTGTGAGTAGGAACTTTAGGGACTTTCAACCCCACCAGGACGGCACAACGAGCGATAAACACCCGGTGACACGAAGTGCCACCAATCACATGAGAATCACACGGGCACAAGTCCCAGAAACTTTCAGCCCTAGGTTAAATTTAGGGCCCCAGAAAACAGCCGGGTTGAAGCTTTATAATAAAAAGCTGGAAAAAAAAAAAATCCCTTCCACATTCAGTCGGAAATTGCCGAATGGGAAAATCTATTGATATGAACTGAGAGAACTACCCACTGAAGTCATCTTTTTTGTAAAATTAAAATATGGTTAAATGTTAGTGTAAACCAGAAGCTGTATTTTCACTTATCTGCTCGTGGCTGTTAGCATCACTTCAGATTAGCTGCCATCTCCGCCTTAAAAGTCGACAGAAAGCTTCTCCAGCTTCTGTTCTTTCGCCGTGGTGGTATAAAATCCTGACATATTGTTTTAATTTAATCTGTTGTAATCTCCCATTTAACTTGTATCTGTCTTTCATACTCCCGTTCCACCTTAACCTCCAGCATAGTTTTAGAAAGATGTGTGTTTTGTGTGTGTGCACAGACTATGTTGTTTTATTATTGCCTTTACTTTTTTTTCCTTCGCACCATGTTAAACCTTTCATAGCACCGGATATCTCAGAATCCGCTAATTTCCTTCTCAAAGAAACCTGCAGGACCGGCCAGCTAGAATCCACACACGTGCACACACAAATCACACTTCCTATGAATGATCTTTTGTAAACTGATTTTTATGAGTTTAAAATGTAGCAAGAATACTAGCAGTTGACATAAGAAAAACTGAGACAACTGATATTTATTATAACTACAGTTTCCTACCACTGGAACTTGTCTCTGAACAAATACAATATGGGAAACTTCAAGACACTCAAAGAGGAGAATCAAAGGAAGATGTGAATAATAGGGGGCAACGGACTGAGAAAATGCAGAAGATTACAAAATATAAAACTGCTTGGTGTGAGTTACGGAATCCAATACGAGTATTTGGTTTCAAAGGAAGGAAAAAAGATGAAAAGGTGAAGAAATGTAGGCGGAGAGAGAAGAAGACGTGATGGAGGATCGAAAGGAAAAGGAGGACGAAGAAGAGTAGGATGAGGAGTAGAAAGTAGAGAAGACACCTACTCGCTTTGGTCTTATCGAGTCCCAGCTGCCAAGTGGGATTAAGCTGGCATGACATACACATGAGTGCTTTGAATTTCTTGCCTTTGTATGAATAGACTATGCGCTCAATCCACAACCATTGAATACAGAACGGAGTTGCATATCATCATTTTTCTCCCAATAGACTCCAACCGGTATGCATGAGCCAAAGGTGTGTCATAACATCTGAGCTATTCCACTACTTTCATTCACTTCTTGCTTGAAACTTGTTATACTTAACAATCCTATTTAGTTTACATCTTTTTTGTTTAAAAATATTGTGAAAAAAAAAATCTGAATAACTTTTCCGTATACCTGTAACATTTTGAAATTACTTCACACAATACAAGCTCCAATAAGAAAAGATTGGCGCTAGAAAATTATGTAATCTTTAAGCAAAGCTTGTTTATACTACTGCGAATTTTTAATGCTCTCTTCTCACTGTGCGTATTTTAACATTGCGATTTTAATGCTCTTTTCCCACATTGCGTGTGCCAGAGAGATAAATGACGGATAATGCTCTTTTGTGTGGGATGCGCTGTCACACAGGCTTTGTTGACGCTATCTTTTGCTTGCTTTCTAGGCTGTCATGCTTAACCTGACAATATGCGATCCTCATTGCTGACTTATCTTAACTGAAAGCTTGATAATACCTTGTTTGGAATGAAACAGAACAAAATCGTTTTCTGTTACTGATTTAACTATTTTAATTTTGCTGAACAACATGAAGCTTCCGTTTATTTCATACTTTTCTTGATTTTCAATTGATATATCGTTTTTATAAAGGCTTTTATGTGCAGTAACATTTCATTTCTGGGCTTTGCATGTTGGTACTTCCTTCATACGGCGCCTTTCGGTTTGAAATCTCTGACTTAAATATATATATATATATATATATATATATATATATATATATATATATATATATATATATATATATATATATAATTGTTTCATTCTGAACGCATTAACGCCATTATTACAGGAAGAATTGCAATGAACGTAGCTAATTAATCTGTGCATATTTGAATGTGGTTCCCTCCCCCCCCCCCCAACTGTTTTAGCCTCTAGAAACGCATGCTCTATTATTTATTACTTTGTAAAAATTAAGACTGTTGCATAATGTAGTTAGTGTGCGTGTGTGTGTGGGGGAGGAGGGGGTGGTACTATATGTCTTATATTACTGAATACCAAAGAGATCAATTGTCGACGTTTAGAAACCCTTGCTTCTGAGTCGCGACCTCAATATTTGACACTCTTGGATTACAAAATTTAAATCCGGATGGCAGATCAACAGACTAAATCGCTGATACCCGTTCAACCTTTTAAAAAATAGGCACCCGTAACGGCCACCCAGCCTGCTGTCACCTGCAGGTCAATGATCCATTCCTGTTTGTTTGTAGTTTATCCCTTCAGCATCGTAGTCTGTCTCGATGACCACCCAACGGATGAGAATCCTACTTTTACTGTACACACTTACGGATATGAAGGTCAGCCCCTGAATTGTTAATTCGATCGCAGCAGTCATTTATGAACGGCAGACTACCTTTGGCCTCAGCTCGTGGAGCTCAAACCATGTAGTATCGTATCTGACCTCTCCCCCCCCCCCCCCCCCGTGCTTTTCAATGTATAAGCAAGCAGGATAGCGGCAATAGAGACAGTGGGTAAATGGAGAATATTGACTTTTGCTGCTGATGTCTTAGTCTACACACTGGGGAGAGATACAATACGAATGTCCAGATAAATACGGTTCGCATTAAATAAGGTCAGTGAGCGGTGTGCTAAAATTTAAGGGACTCTAATTTACATTAGGGGAGCTTGAAAAATTCAAACCCCAAAGATATGTATTTTAGGGTCATATAAGTCTCACAGTACTCGGACAGATCATGCATCCTTGCGTCTACTTCATATGCTTGTGCATTTGTATGTCATGCTTCGGCAAAATATTATAAACTGTTATCATTTAAATCGAACATTTGTAAATAAGTCTGTTTCATCACTCTCTGAAACCATAACTGGATCCTAACGTAATATTATCATAACATTTTTGTAGCGTATGGTGATCATACTTCGGGAGAAGTAATTTTGTTCCCATTGAACCAAGCTCATAAGTACAATGTAAAAAAATTGGCTCAGTGGGATTTTCTAGAAAGTGAGACTGTCAGCGTATGCACCAGCCTCTGAGTGTCGATTAGTTTAAATTAAATACGGTCATAATTATACAATAATTTTAGACTCATTAGTTGAAACCGACACTGAATCAACCCCCCCCCCCCCCCCCCCCCGCCTTTTTTTTAACCATGTATAAACACAAATGTCACCATGTGATTTGTACAAGTACTGAAACGCAGTGCTTACTATATAGTTTATATAACTGAATTTGCAGTCTGAGCAGCTGATGCCAGTCTTGTTAGAGTGACAAATTTAGAATAATTTTCACAGCACTGCAAGCGGCTCACAGAAAGAAGAACATACACGTGACGTTACTGCACTCTTATTTATTTGGTTTGTCCATATTTTGTTTTGTGCGGCTAGGTGTTCTAGGTTAACCGATTATCGGTATCCGAGCTAGGACACGCTCAGTTGTCTAAAATGCTGCAACGTTGTTGGGTATCAGGGTATTAGTAACTCCTTCAATCCATTTTCTTCGCCGTCGTCGCGTGCCTCTTGGTGTTTCTACTTTCCTGTTTTGCGCTCTCGTTGCTGGCATTATTAGGTTCATCCTCATTAAATGGCCAAACCATTTCAGTTTTTTCTCTTCAGTTTATTATATTATAGA